TTCCCAATGACTTGGCTGCTGGAATAATCCATATATGGTTTCCTCAATGTTCCAAACAGTTTTCTTAGTGGTGAGGGAGATACCCATAGATAAGGGAGGAATAGGAAAATGAAATGGTAATATAATCATAAAGTATTATAAAGATTATAATATTAATGCAACATTTTTTTCTCTGCTGTGGTTCAGATTTTGTTTATCCTTAGGATCACTAATACTATCTTCTGTTCTGCCTATCCAATATTAAACCAGTACAGCTAATTCTTGATTTTAAGTTTTATATTTTAAAATTCTAAAATATTCTTTATTATAGATTCCTATTCTAAGTTGAAAATTTCCATTTTTCATCACCACTTTCATCTTTAGCTCTATTTCTTAATATGTTAATCATAGTTATTTTGAAATCCTTGCATGCTGATTCCAATATATGTATCATTTCTGGATCTGCTTAATTGATTATTATGGATTATAATAATGGATTATTATGAGGGTGGTTTTTTTTCTTTTTTTGCTTCTTTGCTTCTCTAGTAATATTTCATTGTATGACATACATTAGTTAGAAAACATAAAGGCTCTAGATAATTTTAGCTTCCTTCAAAGAATATAAAAATTTGTTCTAGCAAGCAGTTGTATTATAGAGAGATCAATTTGATCTTGTGAAAGTTGTTTGAGTTTTCTTAGTTCAGGTCTAGTAAGTTTTGCTTTTATTCCCAGGCCATAGTCATGGTCTTTTAGAGATCTCAACTGAAAGCCATGGTTGTTCACCAGGGTCTTTTCATTCTAACTGGACTCAAATATACCCTCTTTTTCCTCAGCACTGTGAGGCCTTGAAATCTCCCCTCAGGTCTCCAGCTTTCCACAAGTTATTCTTTGCAAGGCCTCCTGCCATCATTCCCTGGGAGTGAACAGTTAGGAGATGCCAACCACTGAAGCAGAATTTTTAGCAGATTTTTAGGATTTCTCTGCAACTCTGTCCTATCAGAGACCTTGCTTTTGGAAATCCAAGCTACCTTGACAGATCTAAATTGTAATCTGTGTCTTTTGTACCCAGAGTTATTGCCATTCTCTCATTGGGTTCTAAAATGATTTCAACAAAACAGCTGCCATGAATGTTAAGCTAGGGGGCTCTTCTTTTGAGGATTATAGACATGCATTTGGTACTAAGACCAGCAAACAGTATTTTAAATATTTTTATATACAGTTCTCCAAATTTAATGGTTATCTATGGTAAAAGGGTGATATCAGCTATCATAGCTGAAATCAATATATTCCATAAAAATAATAATTCTAACAGGTATTATTATTGAATATTTACTAGGTATCAGTGCTTTACATATCTCATCTAATTTAGTCCCCACAAAAAAGTCTGTTTTCCCATTTTTAGATAAAAAAGGAGAGCTCTACAACTTCAATAATTTGCTCAGCCATCACTTAAATTGTCAAAGCCAGTATATGAATACCAGCAATCTGACTTTATAGCCTATGCTCTTCTCAACTGCATAATTTATTAAAGGAGTATTGTATTTTTTATTCAAGAAATACACACATGGGTCAGTGCACACAAATAAATTACCTTTGTTATTCAAGTTTTAGAATTCTGGCACATAAACTCTTTAAAAATCAATAAAAAATTGCTTTTTTAAAAAAGTAATAATACACTTAATTTTTTAGATATATGGATAAATTGAGAGTTAGTACAGAATTCCCATATACTCTGCACCCAGTTTCTCCTATTAAATCTTTTATTAGTATGGTACCTTTGTTACAATAAATGAACCAACACTGATGTGTTATCATTAACAAAGTCCATAGTTTATTCAGATTTCCTTAGTTTTACCTAATGTGTTTTTCTCTTTCAGTATACTGTATTACTTTTAGCTGTCATATCTCTTTAGGCTTTTCTAGGCTGTGACAGTTTCTCAGGCTTTTCTTGTTTTTGATGACCTTGACAGTTTTGAGGAGTACTTGCCAGGTAGTTTGTAGAATGTCCCTCCATTGAAATTTTTCTGATAGCTTTCTTATGATTAGACTGGGGTTATGGGTTTCTGGGAGGAAGATCATAGAAGTAAATGCCATTTTCATATGATTTCAAAGTGCATACTATCAACATGATCTTTCAATGTCCATATTGACCTTGCTTACTTAACATTAAAAAGTTATATTATGTAATACTTGGAATTCACAAAGGTATGCATATGTATATACTCATGTGAATGAGAATAAAATGACCATCTATACTGCCCTCCTGCTCCTCACTCTCCTCAAGAATTAAAACAATGTTTTGCATTTTTGCTGGCAGAAGGAAATGGCTTTTCAAAGTACATTTGAGTTTGCCCTTTTTTCTGTGTTATCAGTACTGTTCTAGAGATGTTGAATTTTGAGATGAATTTGAAATCTATTAATTGTGTGACTATCTGATCTTTGTACATTCTAGCATTTTGTGACTATTATGTGTGTCTCAACACCTTGTTTAATCACTTTTTAAATTTCCATGTTGTTCAAGGTAAAATGATTAATAAGTTCAGGCAGAGAGGGAAAACATATATTCAGTGGAATGAGATAGTTACTTGTCACTGAATTCTACCTTTTCAAAATAAAGCCTGTGAAGAATTACAGAAGTAAATTAATCTTTAAAAGAAAATCTTAAATCTTTAGTAATTAAAAATATCTAATTTAGGGAGCTATCAAAATGAGTATAGAAGATTTGTTGTAAGGTATAGATGTGTAATATTTTTAACGGTGAGACCTTAAACAGTCTTCCCTTAATTTCTTCATCTGTTACTATGTTGTTTCATTATGACAAGTATAAACTAGTTTCAAAGGGGCTACACAAATTGACTTTTTCTGTTTAACTTTGAAAGAAGATGCCTTAATTCTCATTATCTTTGTTACATCTCAATTTAATAAATGAAAGTCGGGAGGTGCATTTTAGACCATACAGCATCATAACTAATTGATCATTAAGAGTGACAGATACATATCAATAGTTGGTTTGTATTTTGCTCAGTTTTAAAATACTTATTTCTATGTTTATGAATAGTGTGATGTGGATGATATCTGTTCCTGTCTAATGAATCATATTTTAAGCCCAAACATATTTGTCTTTAGAATAATTTGTTTATATGGGACTTAGGTCTTGTGACATTTTGGAAACTAGAACAGCATTTGAAATCCAATATTGAAATGTCATGTAAAACCCACTTAACAAGCAGCAGAGCAGCCACCATTCAGCCCCTGGAGGATCTTCCCAGCTCCACCCCTTAGAACACGATCAGAGAAATTGATGGGAAAGAGTGTGGCTTAAGCAGAGATGTTCTCTCACCTTCACCCTCATAGATGAGGAACACAGGCCAGGGAAGTGGGTAACTGCTGTTAGTGGTGAAGCTTCCGTGGTTTTTTTTTTTTTTTTTTTTTTGTATTATTGCTAGGCTTTAGCATAAATTTGCAAATAGGAGTAAACAAAGTGACCAAACAGAACTCAATGTCAACAAATGAATTCAACGGAAAGGGTAATTATGTCTCTATCACAGCCAGAGCCTCCTTTGCTCTGATGTGTTGTAATTTATGGAGTACTACCATGTGTTAGACATTGAGCTAAGTGTTCCATATTCAAAGATAAAATGAAAAATTCTTTACATATAAAACTTATCATCTGGTAGAATAGATGCTTAACTGAAACGACTATTAAGATTCAGTGTGCTAGAGGAATTCATAGCTGTGGAAACATAGTCACAGCACCCAAACTGGGATGGAGGATAGGAGTCCAGGTAGATTCAAGAGCCAGATTCAACCTGGGTTGAACCACAAAGAGTAATTAAGAATCAGCTAAACTAGGAAGGGTGTGGGAAAGCTTTTCTGGCAAAGGGATTAGTTGGAGCAAAGGGATAGAAGCTCAGAAAAATATTTGTTTGTTCAATGTGGCTTGGGGAATTGAGTGATTTTAAAGGGCTGTCAGGAAGAGGCTGGAAGGATTAAAGACTTTTTATTAAAACCTCAGACTTTATCCTGAGGTTTAAAGTTAGCATTCAAAGGATTTTAGGCAAGATAGTGATGTGCTCAGATCTGCATTTTAAAATGAGTATTTTGACTCTTCTGTAGGAAATGGAGTTGAAGAGGACAGGACTAGAAACTGTTTCTGAGAGTGTTCCAGTAATTGGGGCAGAGGTGTTATGCTGGCAGTGGCAGTTTGAGTGGCACCATTCTTAATGCCTTATCCCAGTGTATATCGATAAAAGAAACAATAAGGAAATAGAAGCAATAGGTCCTAGTGACATACTGGGTCATGGGATAAGACATTAAGGATGGTGCCTAAGTTTAAAGATTGGTTACCCTATCCGTCGTTTAAAATATAGAAGAGTTCACAACACAGAAACCTTCGAGATATTAGCTCTGCTTCCACTTTCCCTTTCCCTTCATACTATAATCTCTGTATACTTTCAAGAAGCCTAAATAATTAGAATAAACAAAGAGATTTTCATAGCCAGTATGATTTCAGAGGCAAAACCACATTTTAGCAACTTGTGAAATGACTCATTTCACAAATCTGCCTGATCCTTACTTCACAAAGAGCAAGTATGTTTTTTTTTTCTTCTCCTCACACCAGCACTCACAAACAGTCATAACAAAGTTGGAGAATACTCAGAAGCAGGATGAAGAAAAGGGTTGCATCATCATTGAAATATTCACACTTCAGGGAAGAGCCAAAATTTGTCAAAAATGAGATTAAGGGAAAATAATCTTTTGTTTTTTTCTGTTAGCATTTGAAATCGTGTCAGTGCTTTTCGTTGATTCTTTAGCAGATATTTTTTGGTCTATAATGAAAAGTGCTTGCAAAACCATTTCCTCTTTATTTGGGGGACTGAGTCCATGCCAGTGGCTAAGGTCTGATTTTATAAAATGCCAAATCCAGACAACACTAGATCTTGAAAAGTGGCTCCTTATCAAATTTAATATGTGACATCTTTTCTTTCTAAAATAATTATTGTTTTACCCTTTCTTTTCAGGATGAGCAGAAACTACAAGAGAGTTTAAGGCAAGCTGCCATCATTATTGCTGCCTTAATCAAAGAAAGAAATTCTGGACTCGTTGGTCAGCTACTGGTAGCATGAAGAACACAGAAAATTACCTATTAGGCTTTTTGAAATCTGGACCCAAGTATCTCTATTGTGCTTCTTTCTCTCCCTGTTGTGTGAGGTAGAATGTTTAAGTTGGCTTCTGTGTCATCTTATAATTTGTAGGATGTGATACTTAGATTATAGAAGTGGATCGATGCTTATATCTGTGAAATAAAAATATTTTTATATATGTCAAATATAAATTGCCTGAACCAGAAAAAGAGTAGTAGATAAGTGGAAAATAACAGCCTTCACATGAAGAATCTTTTCACAAAGGCATAAAAGGTCAAATAGAAATAATGATGGGTGAATTATTCTTTCAAGGAATGAGAATTTGGAAAACTTCAGCTTTTGTCTTAACTCTGTGCTAATAAATCACACTGTAATAAAGTTAATGGATAAGCTTCAGAATTATTCTCAATTCTAAAATTGTCCTCTTACCATGTGATATTTTATCTTTTTATCTTGTATTGAAATTTTCTATATCTTAAAAAAAATGGAACTCCTTGTTTCAAATATCTTCCCTATTTGTGTCATATTACTCTAGATCCCTAAAGGAGACATAATCTATTTCTATTTTCCTATTATTTTAAATTATATTTTCCTTGGTTTATGAAATATTAATATAATTATATTATATTATCTTAAAGGGTCTCTGTTTTTTCTGAATAGCCTTTTTAAAAGTCTGGAAAGCTTCATAAAATTATTTTGGTCAATCCCTGGTTAGTCATCTTCTGGGGAATTCGTAGCCTATCTGGTTATTCTTTAGATACAGATACTGCTACTTTTAAAAACCAAGTTCTTTCTAATTTCCATTCGTGTATACAACTGAAATATCAGTATTTTCCCTCACATTACATTTTTCAATTACATGTGTCCAGTCATTAGAGATACCTTTTATTTTATATATACTATTATTATATACAAACAGCTTAGATCAGATTATTCCAAGGATTGGGCTGCATATGGAAACTATAAAAGTTGCACAAAATGTTTTCAGTTAAAGATAGATTATAATACATCTACCTTTAGAATTTCTTCTTTAACATGTTGGTTGATTTTCCCTATATATCTCAAGTATTTGTATAGTAGGAGGGTTTATGTTTTACATTTAAATAATGATGAGTAGAATATTATGAGTATGAGGTAGGTAATTACTGCAATTCATTCTTCCAAATGAAATCTGTTATTCCAATGTAGGTTGGATTTAAATTCCTGGGCTCGCCACTTTTTCCCCCTCTCTCTGAGAATGTTAAGAAACATAAAATCCATTAATTCAAATTCTTGAGGATAAAAATATGTGGGTAATGTGCAGATTTTGGTTAGAGTGTCTTTGTGTCCCTATTAGGGTGGTTAGCTGTGCGGTGAAAGGCATAGTTGCAAAGTCTATACCATGAGCCTGAAATATTTAAGGACTTTGAAAGTGCTCATAAGGCAGAAGAGGAAATGTTATCAAGGTTTTAAAGACTGCCTTTAAGAAGGAAGGCAGCAGGAAACTGGGCATATCCATGGCACAGTAAAATCTACCCTACTCTATGGGGTGCTGACTTAACATAGATTTTAACTTAATAAAGGAATGTCATAGCAGACAGGAATTTATCCTGGAGCAATTAGTATGACTTTACCCTAGGCAATCAGAAACATTTAGCATAATTAAGTTTAGTTAATATTAAATTGTGCCTACAAAGTAATTATAGCATTTTTATCCTTTATTTGTGCCTACAAAGTAATTTTAGCATTTTATCCTTTATAGTTTACAAAGCAAGAAATTCACCGCATTTGACATAGAAATTCTCTACATCCTTCATCATTTACACAAGGAAATTGGGGCTCAGGGAACTTAATTACCTTGGCAAAACTCATGTAACTGCATAGTAACAAGAGGCAGGGCCTAAACTCAGGAGGACTGAGAGTAAGTATTAAGCTCGTGTCTCTGACAATGACTCCTGGCAAAGACTTCCAAAAGAGAGCCTGTGAGATATAAGCCGGAGGCTGTCAGCAAGTGTTGGAGGAATGGACACGGAATGGATAAAGAAGTCAGCAATGTACGATGACCTGATGAAAGTCCTGGAGATTTTGGCTTTCCAGCCACCTTCCGAACATGCAGAAATTGTAGCTTGGGGTGAAGAGAATGGAGAGAATTATTTTCCAAAAGATGAAGATAAATCATTTCATTGTTTAAGAGATCCAGAGGCGACTTTGTTATTTTTGTAACTGCTTCTGTAAATTTACTTGGTAAACCTGTCCATTCTCACTTTGCTTTCCAAAATCTCTTTAAAAATAATAGTAATTAGGCCTCAGGGTTGCTGAAATTGCTTTTACCTGTGGGAAATTGGGTGGAAAGACTATTCCCTTTCTAATTTTATGCTACTTAGTTAAATGCAATTGAGCTTTTTAGGAATTCAACACAGTGTGGGCAACAGTTGGATTAATGACATATTGGTAAGAGAACTTTTTTCCATAAAACTGTTTAATTTGAGAGAATGACTTGTTGCTGGTGTACTCATCTACAGATAAGAGTCAGACCCCTGTATTCTATCAGAGCCATTGTTACTGTGGTCATTTTAAACATTTTGCATTGGTTTAAAAGGAAAATTTTTTTCCTATGTAAATTTATTAAAACTATTAAATTTTACTTTATATAAATACAGCAATCATTTAATAAAAATTAAATTGTAGAATATTTTCATATATTAAAATCTGTAAATTTACTTTAATGAAACTATAGATTCACAGAAGCATAAATTGTAACATTTTAATTAAAATGTTAAGAAAACTATTTGGAAGAAGAAAGATTAAAGTTATTTAAAAGTTTAACTTGAAAATAAACAGAATAAAATGAAAGATTGTTAGTATGGCTTAAAATCAGTGAACTTGAAGTATCTATGTAGGTGGTGTAGCATCTATATGTGTTCTTGTACATTTTAGCTTCAAAATTGTGAAAATGTACATATTTTTAAGATAAGTAAAAAACTATTAAATATTCTAAATGTTTTCCTTATAAAAATATAGTTAATATGTAACTAAATTCATATTTTAAAACCTAATGGCATCTTCATTTATGTTTACTATATATATACATATTTTTTCTACTAAGTCACAAATGAAACTAAGTCATAATTGAAAAACTAAATGCAGCATTTATTCTCAAAATATAATGTGATGCTTCATAGATTTTGAAGTACAGAGCTATTATTCTGTAAAAAAATATTTAAAAAAAATGCAAAACCAGGCGTCTCAATTTGATTTTGTCATATTCCTCTCATTTTTAACAGGATTCCTGGCAATTATACTGGCTGGTAAGGATATAAAAGCTGTACTGAGGCACTGTGGAAAAGAGTACTGTGATTAGGTAACAGAGTCTGTGATGAGTTGAATAATTTGTTCAGATGTAATCTTTTCCTCCCCTTACCTTCCACTAGAGGAACATATATTCTCTTCTTAACTTTGGGATTCATCACGTGACCTGCTTTGACCAATAGAGTGAGTCAGAAGTGGCAGTGTTCAGTGGAGACCAGGCATAAAGAGAGCTTACGTTTTTGCTTGCTCTTTTCTGCTTCTGCTCGCACTATGAGAAGAACATGCCCAGCCTAGCATACCACCTCCAGAAGAGACAAGGACCTAGTCAGCTGACCTCCAGCTAAGCCACAAACGGATGAAAGGCTCAGCTGAGATCAGCAGAGACACCTAGCACAGTTTAGTTGACCTCCAACAAACATGTGAGCTGAATAAATTGTTTTGTACTAGTACTGAATTTTGAGTCTTTATATTACATACCAACTGGTGACTAAAGAAAGAAAATCTGTGGCAGTGTGCAGTATATTTGCCATCACAAGTCTCAGATGTACCTGGAGACACGTATTTTCCTAAAGCAAAATGCTTATAGGAGATTTATTAGAATGATGATCCCAGAGTACAAAAGGGTTTTGTGGATGACTCAATCCATATTCACTAGTTTCCAAAGATAAAAATAGACCTGAATATTTTAGAAAACTTAAAAAAAAAAGGTGAAACTGTCTTGGATCTCAAATTATATTGAGTTAAAAATATGGACATTTAAAATAATAGATAATAAAATTAGCCAACACTTACTGAATTATTTCTATTCCAAAAACTCTTCTTAGCGCTTTACATGTAAGGAACTTCTTTATTTTTCATAATAACTTTATATGCTAGCTAGTATAGCTATTACCATATAAAAGATTGGAAAACCAAGGCATATATGCATCTTGAAAAACGTATTCAGAGTCAACCTAGCAGCAAGTGGGAGAAATGTGATTCATATTTGGTTATTTAGCCTCAGAGCTTATATTCCTAAGCACTATGCTATACAATATTACAAAACATACTATTTTAAGACCCCTTAAGGAATGACTCTTAAAGATGGGAGTTTCAATTTTTTTTTAATAGCAAGAGAAAGAAAATGAATAAAAGCCCATTACTTTTCAGTGTTTCTATTTTTTTGTTTTTCCCTTTCTTTTGCCATCAGCCCCTCTCCCAACAGACACAGTTTGGAACATTCCTGGGTCTGCATGTGCTGGTGAAATCAATGAAGACTGATATCCATATAAGATTTTTATCCATGCCATCTCTGTGAGCTCTAAAGTTGTTAGGATTTCCTCAGGCAATGAATGATAGGACACTTGGATAATGAGAGTTGAAGGTGAAAACTAGAAGCAAGTACTTTCTTGATGTAAGTAGCCATGAGTGCCTCAGCAACACAGCAAGACATGAAAAGTTGAAACACATTTACCATCTTTATAAGAGGAAGGTCTAGCGAAGTGTCCAGTAATGAGAAAATATGAAGTCGTCATTTGCCATGGGTTTCTCTTCATAATGTGTGTTCACCAGTGTTTGCTCAATAGGAAATTTGGGTGTGAATGATGCCTAGTTTGATGAGTAAGACCAGGGTGGACCCAGATTGGTTTTCCTTTCCCATCTGAGACATTGAAATCTTTGATTTTTAAGTGTCTTCACAGCTGACATGCATTAATTCTCTACTTAGGGTTCTATAAAATAATCTGAACAATTGTTAAAACATCTGGGTCTGTCTTGCAGTATGGATGAAACCTGGCTTGTCAAATACATTTTTTAAATTCTAATTTAACCTTAGTTAATATTTGCAGAGTCTCTATGAGGTAGGTCTGTATTAATCTTGTGATATGATGGTTGCAGAAAGGTAAATGCAGACATTAAGGAACCATGATCACTCAGCACACTGGAAGCCAAACCAAGTTTGGAAATCCAGAATTGCTGACCTCTTCTTTGGACAGTTTTTTAGGGAATTGAATCACAAATAGGAAGGACTATTCTTAAAGTTTAAAAAAATCTGATTTAAATCTATATCCAGAATTTTACCTGGATGCATTCATTCCCTTATTTTCCATTTTGTAAAACTGCAGTTGAGCCTAGAGGCAAAAGTTTCAACAAGACAATCCTAGTGATTTTTTGACCTGAGTGGAGACATGATTTGAGATTCTACATAAAGGCCAATTTTGTAAGAATTTCCACTAGTCTGTAGACTGTAATAATTGTGTTATTTGGATAAGGTTTGGCAAAGCATCTAATAGATTAACTGAATGAGGTTTCTGGAGTTTTGCCATTTTGTAGCTATCCATTATGTTCTTTGTTCTACCTCATATTAATAAAATGGGCTATTGAATTGGTTGGTTTATTGGTATGTCAGGTTTTTATATTTTTTTTATTTTCTATTATTTACATCTGAGCCCTTAATTTGTTTGAAAGCAAACTCTTCAGTCTAAGTGGATAACAAAACATCCTTTTGAGGAGAAGGAAATAGATGATAAAAATCTGAATGTTACTAATTTTCTTCTATAGTTTAGAGGAATTTTTTTCCATCCTGTGTGTGTGTTTTTAAGACCTTGTTAAGTTCATAGTTTTTTTTTTTTTTCTTTTCTAGTCTGAATAGAAAATCATTCTCTTTAATCCCACCTGAGTTTTAAAAATGTATTATTGAACTGCCCAGTCCAGGAATTCAGTTGCCTGTTTTTCTGAATGGAGGTATGTATGATCCTATGGTAAAAGAATGCCATTCAAAGACGTTTCCTCCTGTTTGTTTTTTGGATTGGTTACTGTTCACATAAATCTGGAAGGAAGCCAAAATATGTAAACAAATTGAGTTTTGAGAATCCCAGTGGGAATATCTATAAGTTCTGCCATAAATCAGGAATTTAAAATAAATGAGGATAAGTACAGTATCTTATAATAAGATAGCAGGGAGAAGCAATTATAAGCCAACTATTCTTGGCTCTGGTTTGGGAATTTTAATGAATATTAAAAGATTTGGATTAATCATGAGGTTATGCATAATACTGCTCCTTCCCAAGCCTATATATGTTGCCTAAACGGAATTTTATTTTTGTTTTACTAACTTTTAATTGCTGCTTAATATCAAACACCTGCTCAACTTTGAAGCCACTACTTTATATTCTTTTAGCATACTAAATACAATATGCAAATTATTTATCTTTATCATTAATAAGGAATTAATGACTATATTTACCTAAATCAGTGAATGCAGTAAAGGATAGTTTGAAAGATTGGAGATTTTTCTCTTAAAGCTTTATTGGTGTTCACTTTTCTTGAAACTGTCAATGGCAGCATATGAACTGAAACCTGGGGATAACAATTACCATTAAGCTGTCTTGGAAGAGATAAGGAGTAACGTGGCATTCTGTGCTCTTTGTATTACCTTTCACATAGTGCTAAAACTTAAATGTAAAACTCTGTTAAGAAAGACAACCCAAAAGTTCTGTCAGGATGATAGTTCTATTAATTTCTATATGTGTGTAGAGAAAGAGGTGTGTAGAGAAATAGAGAGGAAAAAAGTATATTTATTCATGTGAACTTTAGAGTTCTAAAACAATTGCAATGTGAGTTTGTGCTTTGTATGCATATTCAAGAACGTCTAGAGACTAGGGGTCATTGATTTAGCAAAGTGGGAAAATAGAGTAGATGAATATATCTGGTGCATATGTATACATAATACATGTTTACACTGGATGGTTGTACATATACAGTTAGCCATCCTCATTAGCAGTGCAGATTGGACACATTCTTTAAGTGACTGTATGCTTTTTATGTTGGCAGCCCCACTAGCCTGTGACATAAAAATGAGAACACTTCCATTTGTTTTTGAAACCCAATTTATTATAACATGAACTCATGTTATTTCTGCCAGAAACTAACCTGACTCACAGTATCCTCCCCAGCAATTTCATACAAGCATTAGAAGAGGTATCCTCAAACTATGGCCCGCAGGCCACATGGGGCCGGCAGAGGACATTTATCCGGCTGGCAGGGTGTTTTTGCCACCGCTGCCTGTCCCGGTTAGCAGCCGACTCGTCCTGGGCCCACAGTGCGCATGTGTGCAATGTGCGCCGCACTCTCCAACGGCCCTCCAACAGTCTGAGGGACAGTGAACTGGCCCCCTGTTTAAAAAGTTTGAGGACCCCTGTGTTAGAATAAACCTCTCAGTTTCTCATTTCATTTTTCATTTTGTCACCACGCTGTTACCCTCTCCTGAAAAAGGATGATGAGCCTCATGAACAAGCCACTCTGCCTGGCACTGTCACCTCCAGGCTTACCTGTTCCTGTGTGCCCCCTAGGG